AACTATTTAGATAAAATTAAAAATAAACGTTGTTTGTTTTTCAGTGTTCCTGAACATTCTGGGATCTAGCCGTCCTTAATTTATCAGTGTAAGACTAGACGGAAGGCAGATAGTCATCACCAACCACCGCCAACTCTTGGGCTACTCTTTTTACCAACGAATAGAGGAATTGACCATCACATATAACGCCCCCACGGCTGAAAGGGCGAGAATGTTTGGTGTGACGGGGATTCGAACCCGCGACCCTCAGCTTGCGAGTCGAGCGCCCTAACCACCTGGCCATGCCGGGCCTTATCTAAAAGAATAGAGGCTTTTATCTTCTGAGTTTTAGCATTATGATAAATCACCAAACGCTGCGCGTTTTATTGTTAAAACTCCTGTAAATACATATACTCAGAATTGATTCTGTTGGATCTTTGATCTGGAAATATTGTTATATTTGGTTTAAAGTAGTTGTTTCTAATAATATTGAATAATAGATTAAAGCGAATTATTTTAACTCATTCTATTTCTTTAACAATGTAGTAATAAGAAGTATACCAATAATTATTTTACATACGCTCTTTTTCATTACCCATGCACGTTCTATTGACAGTTACTTAAAGGATATTAATTCTATAAAAAAAAAAGATTGGATAACTTATGGACGTATCCTGGGGACTGGGTGATTAACATTGAACCAACTCACAATCAGCTACTTCCTCATAATTGCTGAAACACAGTTCTTACCCTCACACTAACACAATAAGTATCCACTCTTCCTCACAAACGTCTCTTTCGTGTTTTCGCCTTTTTTTCCCAATCGTTTATCAATAGAATCTCTAACTTCACTGGCTGGTTTTCATCTCTGCTTTGATTTTTCCTGTTTATTTTCATGTCTGTTAAAAAACAAAAAACAGCAATATTTTATTGTGTGAAGAAAATACAATATTAGTTTCAACAATGTTTTTCTGTAAAAAATAAATATCATTGATTTAGTTAGCTTGAAATATGATACCTATTACAATGAATCTTATGAAAAGATACATGTTTTATGTTGTTGTTTTTTTTTGTACCATGTGACGAATTTATTATTATATATTTATTTTAATATCGAAGTTTGTTTAGATTAAGTTTATATTTAAAAACACGCATAGCTTATAGTGTTAAATATGTATTGCGAAACTTCCGCCTATTCTCCAAAGTTGTAGAAGATTCTCGAGAGTAAAGATCAACAAAATATATGTGTACGTAAACGCTTGTGTTAGCGTCAGTATTGTTACGTAAAACTGAAATTTCGAGAAAGCCTCCACACGCCTATAAATATAACCAACGCGACGCACCAAAAAAAGAGTATATATTATTAGTTTGCTATAGTTAGTGTGCTATAAACTTTGGAAACTATAACTGTGATTGTCATAACGCTTATCAATCGGAAAACGTTAGATATATGACCAGGAGCACTTACAAAGTTCTAACATTACAAGTTATTTAACTTCAGTGGATTCTCATTACTACTTTTATTACTTTTTAGTAATGGAACATTACTACTTTTACGAAAACATTACCTAATTTCAACGGTGGAAAATTCAGGACGAAGGACAAAGCTAGCTAGATTCCAGTTAAGCGAATCGTACCTATATCACCTCGTAATTAACTCGCTCATCGTGAACTCTCAATAAGATATCAAGAAAGTTCTAGAGTAGAAAAAAGACTTTATATTATTTGTAAGTTTGTGAAACTTTTGTTCATAAATCACTGTTTGTAATAACTGTTATTGTAAATGGTATTGTTGTGTATATATTAAAACGTATTTGTGTTAAGAAAATAAAGAAAACCGTGTGTATCAATCTTATTGGCAAATATCATAAACTGACTATATATCGGCTTTTACTTAACTGCTAATTCCAAAGTACATTTTAGCTATTAAATTTAAATTTATCAGTTAACTCAGTTTCAGAACATTTGAACTTCTAATACGTAACAACCGATAATTAAAAATATATATATTAATATATTTACATAGCTTGCTTTAGTTATCATATGCTTTTCTGAGATCGAGCTTAGGCGTTCTTACAGAATATTGATATATGAATATGAAAAACCTTTATCACATTTATATAATCCATGAAATAGCTTTCATGTGCAGTAACGCTATGAGAATATTGACTTCTTAGCCACAGACCTTCTGTCGTCACTGAGCATATCGCATGAATACACGAATAACCCTACTGTGGTTTGAGAGAAGTGTGTTTGTTTGTCCTCTAACTCCTCCTAGGCTTTTGCATTTGAACCCGTCAAAAATGGTTTAATCAACTAGGAATGATTCGAGATGCACCAGTAAGAAGTTATTTTCCTTTTAAAATGTATAAATTTTATAGCTCAGGTGGTGGGTAGATATTGTCATTTCATCAATCACTCAACAGAATCAACTTCTGCCTACAATTATGTTTTAGGTTTATATGATAAAGTCGGAACTACAATGGCATAAGTCACAGTCGGTATCTAGAATAAAAGGAGAGTCGCGGGTTCGAATCCCCGTCACACCAAACATGCTCGCCCTTTCAGCCGTGGGGGCGTTATAATGTGACGGTCAATCCCACTATTCGTTGGTAAAAGAGTAGCCCAAGAGTTGGCGGTGGGTGGTGATGACTAGCTGCCTTCCCATACACTGCTAGCGCAGATATCCCTCGTGTAGCTTTGCGCAAAATTCAAAAACGAAAACAAACAGTTTTGTTTCCTCTTCAGCTTTTGAGCTACCACTAGTGTTATAAATAAATTTGGTGATAGTTTTGTTTCCTCTTCAGCTTTTGAACTACCACTAGTGTTATAAATAAATTTAATGATAGTTTTGTTTCCTCTTCAGCTTTTGAACTACCACTAATGTTATAAATAAATTTGGTGATAGTTTTGTTTCCTCCTCAGCTTTTGAACTACCACTAATGTTATAAATAAATTTGGTGATAGTTTTGTTTCCTCCTCAGCTTTTGAACTACCACTAGTGTCATAGATACATTTGGTGTATTTTACTTTATCAGTTTCGTTTCTCTTGTAGTTTTATCTTGTTTTTCTATGTCAGTAGGGAAAAAGCTCCAACCGGTCAGTATTCGAACACCTGGCCACGAATCGTGTGGTTTATGTAATGTTATTGGAAATGTTTAATATTATGCAGAATGATTATCTTTCCACAGATATGGAAATATGTTATAATTTCATAAAATAAATTATAAGAGGTGGTCAAATATTTCACATAGAAAAGTACGTTCAGATTTGCGTTTTCATCTCTAAACCACATGGAGCTGAAATATTTTGTCTGTGACAAATTATTCAAGATATTAGTAAAATGCAAAGATAAATCCCTGATAAATAATGACGGATATAATAAATACGATATCCTCATATTGTAAGGAATGCTGACTCCAGGAACTAAGAATCCAGCATCCAAACTTTAGAGATGAGCTTTAAATTAAATCATAGGTTAGCAAATGTTTGATTGTTTTTGTATATCGTTTCTTATGTTACAGCGTTTAGCGATTTTGTTTTAGTACCTTTATGTTCGCGTTGTGACATCTTCACAAATTCTCAGAGATGTATAGAGTACTTGTAAACTTAAAAAAAAAAGCTTCTGGACTTGAAAGATCCAATTTATTAACAAAACAAAGGCAAATGCTAATAACTTGAAAGCCAAGTTCGCCTGAGTAACCTGATACAGTTAAAGTTAGAAACGCACTAAATTTCAAACAGGCATAAAGATGTGTTACGGATTACTCCTTAAACTTTTCTTAAGAACTGCCTCAAGGCAGATCGGATATAATATTTTGTCTTCAACACGATTTCTCACCAAATACAATTCCTCTCCGACGTCTGAATAATTTGCAAAACGAATCGTTAGGTGCAGAGCTTCTTTATTATTTTGTTTTAAAGTATTCTAATAGTATTCAATGGAATAGTGTGAGAGAAAAGAGAATTTTGTTACGGTTTGGGATAAACATGGGTAGACGTTTCTGCAGGACAATGTTTAAAAAAGACAAGCTGCTTATGGCACTGTTGCATGTTTTGTATTGAGGGAAACGAATAAGTTATTGAGGTAATTTGAGCTGTTGTTTGAACAATACGTTATAGATTGTTCTAACAGCAATAAGAAGCTCATGAATAGATTGACTATTGATTAATAAGTTTATTTTTTTATGATCACTACACATTTTTAGTTCAAGCGCAAAGGGAATCATTAGGCCTTTAATTAAACGTTCCATTTTTATGAAAGTACTGTTTGATACCTGTGTAATACATACGGGATAATCACAATAAATCACGATAACCAAGAACAATAAATTAGGTTTAATCTGATGAACGTTGTGCACAATATACAGGGTATCCGAAAAGTCTGGAACCATAGGTGATTTGTAACTTTTCTTAATTTCAGATACGTGACTGATTATGGCGCTGTCAAAGCATGAGAAGGTTGAATTAATCGTCCTGTTATTCCAAACTTGTTCTGAATTACAAGGACAGTATGTGGAACATATTCTGAAAATTACTTGAAGTACCTATGGCTCCAGACTTTTCGGACGCCCTGTAGAACTAAAGAGAAGTTATGTTTGTGTTTGGCCGTCAAAATCCAACCCGTTGTGTTTTGAGACAAAGTTATTGAATATTTCTTGTCATTCATATTTGTTGCTCTATAGTAGTGTTACATTTCATCACGGTAAAGGGAGAAAAGTTTAAGTCCAGCGTATTTTGTGCAGTGCAGTTTCAATAGAAATCCTGTGTGAGAGGGGAGGGTTTTCAATTAAGTCCATACGACTTTGAACAGATTATCTGCTTACAAAATGTTTATTTTCTCCTCAGAGTATCAGTTCATAGCACATGTTCTGAATTTTGTAAGATAGATACGCGTGACCCGAGAGATTAGTTACCAGGGCAACAAAACGTCATGACCAATCATCTGCTGGCAAGTCTCTTGTGAAAGCACGAGGAGCGGATGGGGTAAGCCTGTAGAAACAGACGCTAAGGTAACAACAATACGAATCTATTTGCATGGCCCGTTTTGTTAGGTCGTTTGTTTTGGAGCATTAAAGAGGCTTCGTAATGTACGCTAATTAGACTTATAAAAATAAAAGTCTTGATCTAAACTTCTCCTAGCTTCTGAACTGCTTTAGTAAAATTAAACGTATTTTCTGATAGAAGATAGCTGTGTATAATACTTCAAAATGTTAAAACACGTGCATATAGCAAGTTGTGTCTCCTCACCGTACTCTTGTCGAGCCCCTGCGCGAGACACAGTGAGTCTGATCTCCACGCTGAGTTCCGGTAGCACCGCCGAACAAGATCCGTTGTCTTCCCGATCGTCCAGCACCTCGAGTCTCCATGATGTTAGTCTGCCCACAAAACCCCCGAAGGTAAGAAAATATTTATAAGTACCCTAAATAAAAACTCGGATAATTAATGAAAAATGCACTCCACCTAATTACAAATCCTACAAGCGTACCAGGCAATATTATCGGAAAATACGAAATTATCAATTTAACTGTGCGATTCGGTTAAAAAGACCTACAGTAGATTGTGATTTTGACTAATGCACATTTTTTTTATTCATAATGTCTCAATAAAAACCAAAACGTTGACTAAATTTTTCCTCTTTGTGTGTGTTTTTATATTAAAACCACTCCTGACCTCGCTCGATCGTACGTTCATATGTCGGCTTATTTTCATAACACATCAGTACTAATACTGAAGTAAGTATAGATGACAAGAGACAAGTCTATTTTTTAAGTTCTTTACCATGTATAGATCTAACATTCATCAAAGCATAGCTGCATAAAAATATATTTCTATTTCAGTTAAGAACTAACGTTTTACGTGATCGTGTAGCTTCGTGTTATTATTGGTTAATGATGGTAAGAAACGAAATTAGTCTAAGAGCAAAAAGCTAATGAAATCTGTTTCCATATACTTTTCATACATGAAATGATTAAAATATCTCAAGCTTATGTGTAGTAAAACATAAATACTTACAGATCATTAGAAGTTATAGTGTGAATTTGTTTGTAAAGCTTGCCATTTACGTTACAAATAGTTCAAAAAATATTATCCACACACTATACTCAAGCTTAGATAATATAATTACTGAATATGTAAATGTATAAATTAAAAGGTTTGAGAAGGAGAGAGAGAGAACGATTAAAAAATAATTAATATTAACTGAATGCAATTAACTAGAAATCTAATAAATGTGAATTGTTCGTCAGATTTCAGTTTACACGTGCTTCTTCGCTGGTCCTGAAAATTACATTACATAGACTTCAACACCAGGGCCCTCTTTTAATCGAGATATTGTATGTTTCGACGTAACAGCTTGTAAATATCACAATTATGTTTAAACTATAAGCACGTGCTACAATATAGACAATATCTGTCCTCTGAAATTTTATAGAAGAAAATTACAAAATAAAGTATTTATTATAATAAAACACTATCTTTTAAAGTGCCATTTTGCGAAGTGGCTCTTTTTTACTGATATAATATCACAGTGTTTAATTCAGCGTTCAATGTTATTCACGAAGTCATTGATCATTTTGTTTTATTTATAATTTAGTAATATATGCATCTTTGTTCGTATGTATATAGTGATCTCGCTGCGCTACTGTAATTAAAAATTGATTAAAATATTTTCTTCCCTCAAAATATCTTTCCATCGACCACTTCACTTCAGATCCCGTGCAGTACTATTTAAATTTTACCCATAGCGACTAACGCTAACTAAGTGAATGGTTATTGTCATTCAGCATAGGGAAGGCAGTGATATCTAGATATCATTTGTCCTACCAGTGAAAGACACTGCTATTACCTACATTCTTGCACAATGTGCAGCTATACAGCAATATCCTCCCAAGGGCAAATAAAGTATTAACTCTAGAGAACAACAAAGGAATAAAGGCAGCTAGAATGATATACCTGTGGGTTTATTTTAGAGCAAAGCCACATTGAGCTATCTGCTTTGTCCATCGCAGGGACTCGAATCCCAGATTTTAGCGTTATAAGTCCGTAAATTTACCGCTGTCTCATCGGTGGACAGCTAGAATGAAGTCAACTTAACAGTTTTTTGAAACACTTGTTATTCTAAAACTGCACAGGCTTATAGTAAACATAATCTTTCTTTTTTAAAAGTTCCACATTAAAAGAAGAAAATAGAAAAGCGTGGTATGTCTGCATACACTATGGCACCCCAATGATCGAGATGGTCACTGAACAATTGAGAGTGAAGCAGAAAATGAAATTACAGTTAATTCTCTTCCTCGGAACTTTTAATTTGCTCTTTTATGTAGTTTCGGTGCACACAAAAAAAAACACTAATCAAGTCTTTGAGTTATTGGATATATCCCAAAATATTTCGATTAAAAGCTCAACATATTACAAGGTACATATTTACTTTCTGATTGTTTTTATAGTAGATATTGAGTGTTGTAGGTGATTTATTCGACTATGTATGAACATGTGACAAGCATAACTACCGAGAGATTTAACCCAGCGAGAACAATTTCTGTCGTTGCGCTACTTCTTGTGGATTATTCAGTAAAAAGAAGAATGTAAATGCTAGTCCACTTCATGACAACGTGGGATTCACCGTCACATTATAATGCCCCCACGGCTGAAAGGGCGAGCATATTCGGTAGGACGGGGATTTGAACCTGCGACCGTCAATTTGCCAGTATGGCCAGGTGGTTAGAGCACTTGACTCGCAACCTGCGGGTCGCGGGTTCGAATCCCCGTCTCACCAAACGTGCTTGCCCTTTCAGCCGTGAGGGCATTATAATGTGACGGTCAATCCAACTATTCATTGGTAAAAGAGTGGCCCAAAAGTTGGCGGTGGGTAGTGATGACTAGCTGCCTTCCCTCTAGTCTTTCACTGATAAATTAGGGATGGCTAACGCAATAGCCCTCGTGTAGCTTTGCGCGAAATTCCAAACAAACTTTTCAGTTCTTGAATTTCAGGTTCTACAAGTTAGGTTTATTAATGTTCAATAATAGTCCTAAGTCATAAATGGGCGCAAACACAACAATTTCACTTGCTAATTATCTCATATATCTATTTCTTTGTCCAAACACGGAATCAATATACCAAAACTGAATTTAATGTTGTTGATGTTCTCTTAGCGCAAAGCTACATGATGTGCTAACTGCACTCTGTCCACCGTGTGGAATCTAACACCGGATTTTAACACTGTAAGTCCCTAAACTTACCGCTGACCCACAGGGGGACGTGAATTAAGTTACTGACAAATTCAATCAAATAATAACTTACTACTACATCTTCGATGTAGCTAACTCAACAGTTAATAGTAATCTATTCTTGGCTAAGTCGCACTTTACATTACTCAAACTACTTTAATATTTGTAGAATATTCCAGACATTATATAAACTATCTGGGCACATAATAACACAAACATCTAAATTAAAAGCATATCCTGTAATAATAAAAAAGAAAAGGAAAATTAAGTTTTACCCAAATGACCCAGAAAAACTTTGGTTTGTTTTCTATTAAGCACAAAGCTACACAAAGGGCTATATGTGCTCTGCCCACCACGTCCGTAAACATCCCGCTGCGCCACTGAGGGGGAGGGTGTGTGTGTACAAAAAAACAACGTTTCTTATCAGCTATAGTTATATAACTCATTACCTTTATACTTACGGTTTATTAGAATTTTTAATATATTATTCTAATACCTTTGGGTTATTTCTGTTTCTAAAGTGTAAAGAACCACGGTAAAAAGTATGTATTGACAAATACGTCAAGCCAATATCACGTGATGTGAGATCACGAGATATATGACGTAAATTATGAATGATGCATATGGCTTACATATAATGCGAACCGTGGTGTTTGTCCGTACGTTTGCCTGTCTCC